AACCCTTATAGGCAATGGGAAATCTATGGGGGGGGGGTATCCAGCAACGCTCCCTCTAAGCCGTGGAGTCTGGTGAGCAAAAAATTCTACTTTGTGAGCCGCCACTGGCATTAAAGTTGGGAGCCCGCGATTTGGCTACTGCAAGCCCTCCGTTCGTTCCTGAGCCAAGACAAAAACTTGTGAGCCGGAGGCTAAAAAACCTGTGAGCGAACTCACACTCACTCAGCTTAGAGGGAACACCGCTCACGGCTTCTGAATTCGCCAAACGGGTGTTAGTCTTGAAGGTGCTACTGGAGGCTTGCTCCTTTCCACAGCTACGGAAAGACCGACACAGCGACCCATCCGGACCTCTCTCTCTTGGACAGGTTCGGCCGCTCTCAGGAAGTTCCCCAGTGCCTTAAAAACCCGAACCCATTCTCCCCGGCACCGCTTTCTCACCCGCACACTGAGACCCCCGGATCTGTGCCTGTCTAGCTGCCCGCGGGGGCGGGGGTGGTGGTGGTGGCAGTTCTGAGAACACCGCCGCGAGGTCCAGGCCTTTAGCCCTTCTGCCTAGCAACCCGCATTTCCCCTCGGGGACTACGTTTCCCACAGTGGCTGGGTGCAAACCAAAGCTGTGTCCTCCGCACGGCCCCCGGCACTCCCAGAGGCTGGCACCCTGCCTAGGCGAGAAAGCTGAGGGTGGTGGTGAGCGAGCCAGCCCTTGGGGGGGGAGCTGATCTGCTTCGCCCTAAGCTCTCCCGTGAAGACGCCCCCGGGCCCAGGGGCCCCTAGACATGCTCGGAAGGCCAGCAAGCATCCTGCACCAACAGGCAAGCCCTTTCCCCCTCAGAGCTTGTCCCGTTTGCAGCCAACAGGGAAGCGGGTGGTCTGCTCTTCACTACCCCGCAGAGTGAGGCTACCTCGTGGGACACGATCTGCAGCAGAAGGTCGACGGCCGCTCTCAGGTCTGCTGCCCAGGGACGGGGGCTGCGACCCCCCCCCAGGCAAGGCCATCTCGCCCACCCCAGGGCTCGGGTCAGTGCCCAGGGAGGCTCCAGCTGCCAGCAGCGAAGACCCACCTGACTCGATCTTGTTCAGGATGGTCCGGGCACATTTCAAGAAGGCTTCCTCCACGTTCTCGCCGGTCAAGGCACTGGTCTCGAGGAACATCAGCTCTGCCAAGTGAAAACACAACGTTCCACGCAAGCCCAGCCTGCAAGGTCTGCAGGGGGGGGGGGTTGGAGAAAAGTGGGTGGTGGGTCCTGGCTGGGCCGCCCGAGCGGATCGCAGCCTGCCCAGCCCCCTCCCCACCCTCCTGAGGACTGCTTCCCTCGAAAGTCTTGCAGGCGACTGCAGAAAGGTGGCTGCCAGCACTCCATTCGTTCCCAAGCCACCTGAGGCAGCGCCCCCCCAGGAGGCTTCCCACCCCCCTCCCTCCCTCAGCCACAATGAACATAGGAAGCCACCTTCTTCTGAACCAGACCCCCCCTCGGCCCATCAAGATCAGTCTTGTCTACTCAGACTGGCAGCCGCTCTCCAGGGTCTCAGGCGGAGGTCTTTCCCATCACCTCCTGCCTGGTCCTTTTTAACTGGAAATGTCGGGGACTGAACCGGGGACCTTCTGCATGCCAGGCAGAGGCTCTGCCACTGAGCCACGGCCCCTCTGTAAAGCTCTCCAGGGTCTCAGGCGGAGGTCTTTCCCACCACCTCCTGCCTGGCCCTTTTTAACTGGAGAGGCCGGGGACTGAACCGGGGACCTTCTGCATGCCAAGCAGAGGCTCTACCGCTGAGCCAGGGCCCCTCTTGACAGCTCTCCAGGGTCTCAGGCAAGGGTCTTTCACATCACCTCCTGCCTGGTCCTTTCAACTGGAGATGTAGCTGGGGATTGAACTTGGGACCTTCTGCGTGCCAAGCAGAGGCTCTGCCACTGAGCCACGGCCCCTCTTTACAGCTCTCCAGGGTCTCAAGCTGAGGTTTCAGGCGGAGGTCTTTCCCATCACCTCCTGCCTGGCCCTTTTTAACTGGAGAGGCCGGGGACTGAACCTGGGACCTTCTGCATGCCAAGCAGAGGCTCTTCCACTGAGCCACGGCCCCTCTTTACAGGTCTCCAGGGTCTCAGGCAGAGGTCCTTTCCATCACCTCCTGCCTGGTCCTTTTGAACTGGAGATGCCGAGGACTGAACCTGGGACCTCCTGCATGCCAAGCAGAGGTTCTGCCACTGAGCCACAGCCCCTCTTTACAGCTCTCCAGGGTCTCAGGCAGAGGTCTTTCCCATCACCTCCTGCCTGGTCCTTTTTAACTGGAGATGCCAGGGATTGAACCTGGGACCTTCTGCATGCCAGGCAGAGGCTCTACCACTGAGCCACAGCCCCTCTTGACAGCTCTCCAGGGTCTCAGGCGGAGGTCTTTCCCATCACCTCCTGCCTGGTCCTTTTAACTGGAGATGCCGGGGACTAAACCTGGGACCTTCCGCCTGCCAAGCAGAGGCTCTACCACTGAGCCACGGCCCCTCCCCTGCTGCACGGCAGAGCTCAGCCCTTGGTGTGGCCATGAGGGCCCATGCCCACATGGCCGCTTGTGCAGTCTGAGGAGGGAGGGAAGGAGGGAGGGAGCCAGCCCCCGGGGGCCCCAGCACGGGGCTCAGCCCCTCCTCTGCCTTGGGGGCAGTCGTCGTCCATCCCCCCCCCCCGCTGCCCTCACCGTTCTCCTGAGCAAACCGCGAGGCCTCCAGGAACGTGACTTCCCGGTCGGCGTCCAGGTCCTTCTTGTTCCCGCAGAGGATGATGACGATGTTGGGGCTGGCCAAGGTGCGGGCGTCGGTCAGCCAGTTGGTCAAGGCGTTGTACGTCTCTCTGCTGCAACAGAAGGAGAGGACCCACAGGAGGAGGGGGGCAGTGCCCCATCCCTGGACGGGAACCCCAAAGTCTCCCCCCCATCGTGCCAACGCCCCTCCGAGAGGGGGGGTCATCACTCGCACACAGGACAGGCGTGGCTTTTGCCACCTCACGGGAAGCAGAATCCCTTGCAAGAGGCGAACGTCCTGAGCAGGCCATGAGGGGAGGAATCGCCCCTGCAGAGACTCACCTGGTGATGTCATAGACTAAGAGGGCACCGGCTGCTCCCCGATAGTAGCTCCTCGTTACTGACCTAGAATCACAGAATGTCAGAAAGTGGGACCTTGCAGGTCATCTAGTCCAACCCCCCACACTCTGCGGGAGCAGAGCCGAAAGAGAGCCCGACGACACACCCGAGAGATGGCCGTCCAGCCTCCGCTTGAAAACATCCAGCAAAGGAGCCTCCCCCACCTCCCAAGGCAGTCCGTTCCACTGCTCAAGCACTCTTCACAGTTAGGACGTTTCTCCTGATGTTTAGCCAGTAACGACTCCCTTGTAATTCCCACCCATTAGATCTAGTCTTGAAGTTCGGAGCAAGAGAGAAGAGATCCGCTCCATCTTCTACACGACAGCCCTTCAGATACTTGAGGACTGCAATCGTGTCCCCTCTAAGCCTTCTCTTTCACAGGCTAAACAGACCCAACTCCTTCAGCCTTTCCTCTTTCACACTGAGAGAGAACGTGCAACGTATCGGACGGGGCAGAAGAGGCAGAACGTGGAGACGGGCTCTCTGGGGGAGGGGGGCTGCCCCCTCCCGCCCCCTCACTGGGGCTTCCAGGCATCCCCCGAGTCTGTTCCAAGCCACAGGCCCGAGTCCTGGTGCTCCCGGGGGCAGCAGGGGACCTGCAGTCGGAAGGGGCATGCAAAGCCGCACACCGCACCGGCCTGTGAATTTGGAGAGGCCTCTGCCTTGCGGGCTCGTATGCAAAGCTACCAAAAAGAACAGATTCAGGTGGGGGGCAGCCGTGTTGGGATGAAGCAACGGAACAAAGTCGGAGTCCAGCAGCACCTTTAAGACCAACAGAGTTTCATTCCCAGAATTGAACTCTGTTGCCGCTGGACTCCAACTTTGTTCTATTGCTAAAGAAGAAGGAGAGAAGAAGAGATTGGATTTATACCCCATGCCCTTCACTTGGAGTCTCAGAGCGGCTTACAGTCTCCTTTCCTGTCCCATCCCCACAACAGACGCCCTGTGAGGGAGGTGGGGCTGAGAGGGCTCTTTCCAGGACTGCCCTTGAGAGAACAGCTCTGAGGGAACTTGTGATGGACCCAAGGTCACACCAGCAGCTGCAAGTGGAGGAGTGGTTCTCCCAGACTAGAGTCCGCACACTTAACCACCACACCAAACTGGCTCTCTAAAAAAAATGTGACACAGCTTTGTGTGAAACTCTATTGTTATGAGAAAAACGAACCAAGGACCATGAGTTGCTACGGCATTCCCAGATCTTGCCCGCAGCCTTCCCAGCTGGCCACGGGATCTGGCTTTGTTGAGCACCTGTCGGCACAACAGGGAAAGGTGCCAGGGCCAGCCCACCCGCACGGCGGGATCTTCTGCCTCCCTGCTCAGCAGTCTGGTCGAGTCCTCCGTGTCCCTTCCGGCCTCTCCCAGAACAAGAATCCGTTTCTCTCCGCAGGCCGGCAGGCAGCGCACCGCTCCCCCCCCCCCAAAGCCCCGCCGGCTTCTGTCGCTCACCTAAAGCGCTCCTGCCCGGCCGTGTCCCAGATCTGGAGCTTCACCGTCTTGCCGCCCACATTCACCACCTTCGATCCGAACTCCACTCCGATGGTGTGGTTGGAATCCTGCTTGACTGTGGGGGAAACGCGCACCGGGACAGGGAGCTCAAATGAGCCACGGGCAGCGAGCACGGAAGAACGACGGCGGAAAGAGTTCGGGCAGCCGTTCGGGCAGAAGAGCGGAGGGAGGGAAGGCCACCGGGGCTGAACACAGCCCGGAGAAGGGGCCGCGGGGCCTCTGGGACCAGGGGGCAGCCGGCGGCAGCATCTTGAACACCATCAACGCCCAGTTCAAGTCCGGCACCTGCTGCCAGGGCAAGGTGTGAATTTCAACCCCAAGAGAGAACACGGCGCTGGAGAGGAACCGCCGCCTCTCCCTGCTGCCGGGACCCCACTGGGTGGTCTTCAGCAGGTCACGCTCCGTGGCAGCCCCCACCAGTGTTCCCTCTAAGCTGAGTCGGTGTGAGCCAGCTCACAGGTTTTTAGCCTCCAGCTCACACATTTTTGTCTCAGCTCAGGAAGGATGGGGCTCCAGAGCAAACTGATTTATGCAGGAGAAGAAGAAGAGATTGGATTTATACCCCATGGCCCTTCACTCCCCAAAGGTGTCTCAGAGCGGCTCACAAACTCCTTTCCCTTCCCCTCCCCACAACAGACACCCTGTGAGGCAGGTGGGGCTGGGAGAGCTCTGACAGAAACTGCTCTTTTTCAAGGACAGCCCTTATCAGAACTACGGCTTGCCCAAGGTCATCCATCCAGGTGCAAGCGGAGGAGGAGTGGGGACTCAAACCCGGTTCTCCCAGATTAGAGTCCATACACTTAACCACTAAGAAGAAGAAGAAGAGACTGGATTTATACCCCGACCTTCACTACCGAGAGGAGTCTCAGAGCAGCTTACAAACTCCTTTCCCTTCCCCTCCCCACAACAGACACCCTGTGAGGCAGGCGGGGCTGAGAGAGCTCTGACAGAAACTGCTCTTTTTCAAGGACAGCCCTTATCAGAACTACGGCTTGCCCAAGGTCATCCAGCCAGGTGCAAGTGGAGGAGGAGTGGGGACTCAAACCTGGTTCTCCCAGATTAGAGTCCACGCACTTCACCACGACACCAAACTGGCTACACCAAACAAATCGCTCACTCACAACTTTAATGCCAGTGGCTGACAAAGTAGAATTTTTGCTCACAAGACTCCACAGCTTAGAGGGAGCCTTGGCCCCCACCCCATTTATTTTGTTTATTCAGAAGCCTCGTAAACGCCTCCTTTCTCCCAACAAGTGGGACCATCAGTAATACAGGGGACACTGAGAGCAGCTGACTTTGCAGGGTTATTGTCAAGTGCCAACTGAAACGACACACACGTCGATCTTGGCACGCCCTCAAACGCTTTAACATACCAAGGGTCATCCTTTCCAATTTATAGGTGAGCTGTCAACATTGGTCCAGGTGACCGTATGAGCCTCGGCACCGTACACGTGGATCGGGCCCTCCTCCTCCCACCCCCATAACACGACGTCGGTTCAGTGACAGTTGGGAGCGGGGCCCTCCGGGTGGTGGCCCCGAGCGTCCGGATGGTTCTCCTAGCATAAGTCAGGAGCTCTTCTCCCCTCCCAGCCTTTCCAAAGGGCCACAACAGCCACCCCTTTCCGACAGCATTCGGCCAAGTGATTTCTTTCCGCCATGCTTAGAGATGTAAAATTTCCGGAAATATTGAAGCTCGGGGAAAAAAACGGGTTTTTTGGGGGGGAAACGAAAATTTTCGGAAAAATTGAAAAAACCGCTACATTAGCACTTCTTTTTTCTTTTCCAGATTGAAAGTCATTCTGTTACTTTAGGAACATAAAATATGACTATGGACCTTTTTACTTGGCATGAAATGATCACAACTAGCCTATTAAAAATACAGTGTATCCAAACAATTATTACAAACCGAATACCCACCCACATGCAAAAACAAGACTGAAACCTTTTTCTTGTCTTGTGACAACAGCACCTCCTAAAGGAAGAAATGCATCTTGTTCTTGCATTGGAGAGTTCAGTTTGTAACCTAGGACTTGTTTGTCCTCAGTGCACAGAAGTTAGATCAATCTGATACCATACATATTTTTTAGAAATGATTTGGAAAATATGTGAACACCTTGTCCTAAAATATTTTATTCATCATGTTAAAATAAAACATTCCATAATCAATTTTTTTTTCTTTTCTTTTTTCATTTTTTTGGAAAAAAATCAAAAAAGGCTTCAGGGAAAAAAATGGGGGGGGGGTTTTCCGGGCCTTCACATCTCTAGCCATGCTTGATTTTTAGATTGTGCAAATTGATATCTGTCATTTTAGTGAAGTTTTTACACATCTTGTTGGACGCAGGAGAATCGAACGTTCCAAAACCCGGTGCAGCAACCCCGTGGGTGGCTTGGAACCAGCAGTGCCTCGTGACAGAGCATGGGGAAGAAGTGTTCCCTCTAAGCTGAGTTAGTGTGAGCTAGCTCACAGTTTTTTAGCCTCCGGCTCACAGATTTTTGCCTTCGCTCAGGAAGGATGGGGCTCCAGAGCAAACCCATTGATGCAGTAGCCAAATCACCTGCTCACAATTTTAATGCCAGGAGCTCACAAAGTAGAGGTTTTGCTCACAAGACTCCACCGCTTAGAAGGGGCACTGCGAGTGTCCCTGGGACAGACCGCTAGAGTCCCGCGGGGAACAGTTGCGGGGAGGGGGGGGCTACACCAAGAGACGGGAACGGAGGCCCAGCACGACACTCACATTTGTTCTCTATGAACTGGTGGAGCAGGCAAGACTTCCCCGTCCCAGCGCTGCCGATCACGAGGAATTTGAAGAGGAAGTCTGGAGAAAGAGAGAGCCACAGAGAACCAGAAGGTTAATTCACAAAGAAGGGCGGGGGCGGGGGAAGAGCCAGCTGTTTAGGGGGCTCACGGAAGGCGCTTCCCCCACCACCACCACCGGAGCAAAGGCCAAGGATTTCTTGCTTTGTTTTTCACTTCGTTTCTCCCCTGCCCTCCCACCCCCCAGCGGGGGCCCAGAGCAACCTCCATCCTCCTTCGGAGAGCCAGTTTGGTGTCGTGGTTATGTGTCCGGACTCTATTTGGGGAGAACTGGGTTTGATTCCCCACTCCTCCTCCACTTGCGGCTGCTGGATGACCTTGGGTGAGCCGTAGTTCTGTCACGAGCTGTCCCTGAAAGGGCAGTTCTGGAAAGAGCTCTCTCAGCCCCGCCTGCCTCACAGGGTGTCTGTTATGGGGAGGGGAAGGGAAGGCAGATTGCAAGCCGCTCTGAGACTCCGAGTGAAGGGCAGGGTATAAATCCAATCACCACCACCTCCTCCTCCTCCTCTTCTTCCCTCCTCCATTTCATCCGCACAACAACCCTGTGAGGTTGGTGTGGCTGAGAGAGTGTGGCGGGCGCAAGGTCACCCGGTGCGTTCCCATGGCACGAGCAGGGATTCGAACCTGGGGCTGCCAGATCCTAGCCCAACGCCACGTGTGTATAGGAACATATAGGAACAGGAGCAGACAGAGACCGGAGAGTCCCAATCCTTCCCACCCACCCCAGCCGAAAGCACACACAGACGGCGAAGCTGCCTCTCCAGACAGCGTCCTGCCCCCACCGTCTGCTCTGGAGGAGGGGCACCTCCCTCTGCCCACTGCAGGGCCAGGCCAGTGGCCCACACCCAGAGTACCTAAGGAGCTGAAAGCTGTCCAGCTCGGCCATTTGCTGGCTGGCTGGCTGGCTGGACTGGGAGCGGTCAGCGTCTGGAAAGAGCCCAAAGCCCGAGGAATGCCTCTCACACCAAGGAGCCGGAAACGAGTCTCTAAGTGCCAGGCCCCACACAGAGGCTGGAACTCCTGAGGCGGGCGGGCGGGTGGCCTCACTGGGGGGCTGGGAACTGGAGCGCCCCCCCCCCAAAGCTCCTGCATTCAGCCAAAGCTCTTTGCGCTCAGGGGCGGCCCTTCCTCCTCCGCATTCCAAGGCCTCCCCTTTCATGCATGCCCCCCACTGCCACCTTTGCAGGGAAGAAGAAGAAGAAGAGATTAGATTCATACCCCATGGCCCTTCACTACCCAAAGGTGTCTCAGAGCGGCTCACAGACTCCTTTCCCTCCCCCTCCCCACAACAGACACCCCCTGGGAGGTAGGCAGGGGGGGCTCAGAGAGCTCTTGACAGAAACGGCTCTATTCCAAGGACCACTGAAACCCTGCCAGCACCCCTCCAAACACTTCACACTGAAGGAAAGGACAAATCGGGAATTCAGAGCGACGGGAGACGAAGCTCTGCGCCCCGAAGCAAAATGAAAGGGGACAACACACACACCCCAGCTCGGAGAGGTTTCTGATCCGGCCCCAGACCCCTCAAGACAGCCAGGCGAGCAGCCGGACGGGAGAGCAACCCTCCTGTGCCTGCGTCCGGAACCCGCTGCGCCCGGACGCAATTCTGCACGGAGCAGCGAGGGCGGGCGGAGGCTGCTGGGGGAAAGGGCAGGTGGAAGACGCCGGGCCGGCCGCACAGCCACCTCGCTGGCCCCGATCCTTGCTTACGTGGAGGGCACGAGAACAAAGAAGCCTCCTGGGGAAGCCACGCCCACCGCGTGAGGCACACCTTTGCTGTGCCCCATAAAACCCTCCAGCCCCCAAATCTCTTCTCCCTCCCACCCTCCTGATCTCATTTACTAGGAAAACATTCGGAGGGCACCAGAGCTCTCTCTCCAGAGGGCAGGGCCTCCTAGACGCCGCCGGCAGAACGAACAGGTGGAGGTGGGAGGGAATAACAACACCTTGCTCAATGTCACCTTCGGGGAGGGAGGGGAACCTCAGAGGGCCCAGCAGAACCCAGGGATCTCTCTGTGTTTTCCCCGTCCCACGTGCCTCAACCTGCGTGTTTAAACACCCCACCGTCTTTCTAGTCCTCTCTGCGCCTCCGATAGGACTGCCAGTGGGGTCCAGCCCGCCCCAAACAGCTAATCTGCTGCTTCTACAATTTGGCATAAGTTGCCTGCTTGACTGCTCAGCACAGGAAGTGACAGCTAGCCCAAATCACCTAGCCTCGGAAACACAGGAAACGACACCTAGCCCAGCTAGCCTAAATCACTGAGGCGACAATATCTGGAAATCCATTACCCCCGGCAGAGGGAGAGCGAGTGATTCAGCAGGTATGTAACTGACAGGGGCGTCTCCCAGTCAACAGAGCTACACAGATCTTGCCACCATTACATTGACTGGTCTACTTTTCCAAAATGCAGTTACACTGATGGGGGGGGGGGGCCTTTTGTTTTCTCCAAGCACAGCAGCGCCATTCCATTCGCTCTTTCAGCAGCACAGACCAGGTGTGAAAGTAAATGTTTCCCTGGCCAATGCAGGCAGGGTTTCAGATCCAGCAAACGCTATCCCTGCTTCCCCACTTTAGTAATCAGCAGATCTGCTTGCGTATGCTGGCAGGCAGGCAGGCAGGCAGTGCTGCAGACTACGGGGAAAGGCAAATGTTCCCCCCCCCCCCCGGATGTCAAGCAGCAACACCAGCTGTGTCATCTTTTATGCAACTATTGCTGCAATGAGTGACAGAGAGACAGGCACCGTCAGTGGAAGGAAGGACCTAAAACCTCATACCTTCTACCTTCCTTAAAAGGAGCTAACCGTACTTCCCCCTCATACAAAAGGAACTCTCCCAGATAGTACTCGCCCTGGTAGGGAACACATAACAGACGGCCTTGTCTTCACATGGAAAGACAACCCGATGGGGTTGAGGGAGCAGGAAAAGGGGTCTTCCCCCCCAAAAAAAAAATCAAAACAGGCAGGGAAGGGGAGCTAAGTGCCGCCCCCCCCCGCCCCCCGCTCATCTGACTACACTCCAGCGCTCAAAGCATTTCTCTCCCAGCTTGGCTCCAATACTGTAGCTCAATGAGGCTGGGTGGGAAATGCTTCAAGTAGCAGAGCGGGAAGAAAATAAAGTCACGCTGGTAGGCAGGAGAAAGGAGGAGGAGGAGGAGGAGATTGGATTTATACCCCGCCCTTAACTACCTGAAGGCGTCTCAGAGGGGCTCACAATCTCCTTCCCCTTCCCCTCCCCACAACAGATGCCCTGTGAGGTAGGTGAGGCTGAGAGAGCTCTTTCGAGGACTGCCCTTGAGAGAACAGCTCTGAGAGAACTTGTGACTGGCCCACGGTCACCCCAGCAGCTGCATGTGAAGGAGTGGGGCATCAAACCCGGTTCTCCCAGCTTAGAGTCCACACCCCTAACCACTACGCCAAACTGGCTCTCAAGGAGCAAGGGAGAGCTGTTCATTTGACCTTTTAGATCTCAATGTGTTTTCATGATAAACTCAGGGGAGCTTGAGCAGAAACTCCTCCGGCCGGCTTCCACCTTGGCCAAACAAACGGCTCTCCCTTGCACCTTCTTTCCCCTCAAGGACCAAAACACCACGTGGTAAACTGGGGGAAGGAGCACAGCTCCCCTCCCTGGGTCCACATTTAAAGCAGGGCCACACCTCAGTCCTGTTCCTGGCGCATTATCAGGTGGACAGGCTTAAATGTGCCAGTCATTGTTTACTGTTTGAGCTCAGTGGCTATGGAAGGGCTCAGACCCCCGAGAGCCGGTGCTAGGGAGCAACGCCAGAGGCGGCCATGGCCTCGTGCGGAACCGGATGCGGGACTAGACCTTCTTCTTACGCCCTCTCTTCACGGTGCAAGAAACAAGCTTTGGTGCCTAGGAAAGAGGGAGCTTCTCCTCCATCTGAAAATGGGCAGGGAAGGTCCCTTGAGCAGGAATCCCTGAGATTTCTCTATTGTCCCCAAAGCTGGAAATGTGTTCCCCACCAGCCAGGGTGGTGGACTGGGTGGAGTGGTGCTGGCCGATCCAGGTTTGCATCCCCCCCCCTCCACCATGGCAGCTGGCTGGGTGACTTAGGGGGCCTGTCGCAAATTCTCAGCTGGGCCTACCCCACAGGGGGGTGGTTGCCAGAAAGTGGAGGAAGAAGAAGAAAAGGGAGACTGGATTTATACCCCGCCTTTCCCTTGGAGTCTCAGAGCAGCTTACCATCTCCCTTCCCCTCCCCACAACAGACACCCCTGTGAGGTAGGTGGGGCTGAGAGACTGCCCTTGAGAGAACAGCTCTGAGAGAACTTGTAATTGACCCAAGTTAACGCCAGCAGCTGCATGTGGAGGAGAAGAAATTGAATTTATACCCTGCCCTTCACTACCCGAAGGAGTTGTGAAGCTTACAATCTCCCTTGAGTCTCTCAAGACTACCCTTGAGAGAACAGCTCTGAGAGAACTTGTGACTGACCCAAGGTCACTCCAGCAGCTGCATGTGGAAGTGTGGGGAATCAAACCCGGTTCTCCCAGATGAGAGTCCGCGCTCCTCACTGCTCCATCAAACTGGAAAGAGAGAATGAAGCTCTGAGCCAGGGCGAAACAAACCAATGCAAAAGCATCCATGAAACTGCCAGCAGCAAAGAGGAGAAAATGGAATTCCGGTGACAACGGAGAGAAGAAGGAGAAGACTTTTGTTTGGGGAGGGTGGGGGTGGGGGAGTAAAAGGGACCCCAAACCGTAGAGAAAAGACTCCTCTCGTCCCTGAACCCAGGGGGGCAGCCACGGCTGGTGCCTGCAGGGAGGCTTCCTGCCACCCCACACAGAAGCAATGCAAAAGACACACACACACACCGGGGTTTCTTCCCAGGGGTGTAAAAAGTACCCCTGCCGAGGGGGGCAAGAAGCAATCAGCCCCCCCCCCTCCAGCCTCCTTGTGGCCTCTGCAATTTTGCTGCTGGACCAGGGGGGGAGGGGGGGCGCTGCGGGGGGGGGGGGAGAAGAGGCTCGCAAGCAGCTGTTCCCCCCCACACACCCCAAGCCCCTGCAACCAGTGTTCCCGCTAAGCTGAGTGAGTGTGAGCCAGCTCACACTTTTTTAGCCTCCAACTCACACGTTTTTGTCTTCACTCAGAAAGGGACGGGGCTCCAGAGCAGTGTTCCCTCTAAGCGGAGTGAGTGTGAGCCAGTTCGCCGTTTCCCAGCCTCCGGCTCACAGAGTTTCCTGCCTGGGCTCAGGACGGGATGGGGGCTCCAGAGCAAGCGTGATTTATATGCAGTGCAGCCAACCCCCCTGCCTGCCAACCCCCCCCCCCCTGCCTGCCCACAACTTTTAATGCCAGGAGGAGCTCACAAAGAGGAATTTCTGCTCACAAGGAGACTCCACGGCTTAGAGGGAGGCATGGCTCATGTCCCACGTGCGCCCCTGGGGGAGAAAGAGCTGCTTCCTCCCGGGCCGGCTTCCATCCCGGCGGGGGCAGGAGCAGGAGAGGCCGGGAGGTGGGCGGGGGGAGTCCAGGAGCATCTTTCTTCACGTGTCTCCCCCCAGTGGCTTTTTGTGAGTTCAGGAAGAGGACGCCCGTCTCTCCTCCCTTGCGCTGCTAGCTTTCTCCTCGCAGGGAGGTCTTTAGGCCCGGCCCGTGTGGGAAGGCCAAGGCACGGGGGAGGGGGCGGGCCGGGACCACCGCGCAGCCTCTCTCTCTCTCTCTCTCTCACGACAAGGCCGCGAGGGAATCCACGCAGGCCTCCGTCCCGTCTCCTAGCACCCGCCCTCCCCCAGTTTCCGGGCAGGGCGGTAAAGGAGACGTCATCGCGGCGCGGCGCCCTCTGCGTCGGACGCGCCCCCCCATTGGCCAGGCGCGGGCGACGCGCGCTGATTGGACCGCTGAGCGGGCCGGCGTCCCGAGGAGGGAGGGAGAGAGAGAGAGCGCGCCTCCGTCGCCCGGGATCGGATCATGAGCGGTCAGCGGCTCGGCGGCCCCGGTGGCGGAGGGGCGGCCCCTAGCGGCGCAGAGGGGGAAGCGCACGCAAGGGGGGAAGGAGGCCCGCCGCGCTCGCCGAACTGTGGGGTTGGAGGGATCCGGTAGAGGCGGCGGCCGCCCCGCTCTGGAGGAGCAGCCCCAAGCAGCGGATCCAAGCTGGAGTCCACTCCGGCACCGGGAAGAGCGACCAGGCCTGGTTCTGCACTGGCTTTCTCCCTCCGTTGTTTTAGCAAACCCGCGTTGGAACAGAAATTCCCCTCTGCATTGCATGCCGCTTTCGCTTCCTTGGAGCATCGGATTTTATGGTACCCCCTGCACTGCATGCTGCTGCTTTTGCTTCCTTTCAGCGTCGGGTTTTATGGTGCCCTCTGCACTGCATGCCGCTTTCGCTTCCTTGGAGCATCGGATTTTATGGTACCCCCTGCACTGCATGCTGCTGCTTTTGCTTCCTTTCAGCGTCGGGTTTTATGGTGCCCTCTGCACTGCATGCCGCTTTCGCTTCCTTGGAGCATCGGATTTTATGGTACCCCCTGCACTGCATGCTGCTTTCGCTTCCTTGGAGCATCGGATTTTACGGTACACTTTGCACTGCATGCGTGTTGGGTATTATATGTTGAAAACACTTCAGTATATATGGGGTTAAATGTTTGTTTGTGTTGTCACAGGAAGTCACATGTGTTTTATATAGCCAATGCTAGTTTAGGACTACAAGCCCGGGAAAACCATCCCTGATCTAGGAATTTCATTGGAAGCGAAGTGTCAAAGTATTTTAGCATTTTATGGCTCCTCTACCCGTCTTTGTGTTCTGTTCTGAAGAAGAAGTACGAGAAGCCATTGCTAGCTCTTCTAGTGTTGTCCTTTGTAGAGTGAGGATGTAGCTATTTTGCTGTGTTGTTATTTTCATCCCAGTTACCCTTTCCCTATGCTAGGATGTAGTAAAACTTTTCTATTTTAATCACACATGGACTCTGAGTCTGATTATTTTACTCTGGCATTGCTAAGCTATTTTAACTCTGCTGAATTACAATTTTAAAAATCCAACAATGCTGCTTTCGCTTCCTTGGATCATCGGATTTTACGGTACCCTTTGCACTGCATGCCACTTTCGTCGCGAGCCGAGGCCTTGGATCATCGGATTTTATGGTACCCTTGTTGACATATATGCCTAGGTAAGACAACCCCGCCTCGCTTTGTGGGGGCTGCCCGTGGGGGCAACTTCTGCCCCAACGAAAGTTTGCAAAATCTGCCGCGCAGCCAATCAGAAACCTTGCTGGGGAAAAGGCCCACCTGGTGTGTCGCCCCCGCTTCCTCTAAGCACTTGGACGGCGCCCGATGCGGCCCGGGGGCACCCGGTTGGGGGCCCTCGTTCTAGTCCAGTCCTCTGACCCCTCCGCCACTCTTCCTACCTTCCCCCAGGCCGGGACCTTTCTAGAAGGGGGTGGTGGAGAGAGCCAGAGCCATTCCGGCTGGTTTCGGGCTACGGGCATCTAGGGAGCAGTGCTGAAGTGTTTCCGAGCATGTAAAGACGGCCTCCCGCCAGTGGCTCCTTCCCGAGCCCGCCTTGCCGGCCGCAAAGGGGAGGCGACTCGCGGCGGGGGCCCGGGAGTCCTGCCCTCCCCCTCCCCCCCTCCTCCCGCTGCGCTGCCTCTTGGCGCCTGCCGGGGACCCGGCGAGAGGCGCGCCCTGCTGGCTGGCGCTGCGGGCCTGGGCGCAGCGGGCACTCCCCGCGCCCCGTCGAGTCGGCGCCTGCGCTCCAGCCTCCGC